CTTATTAGACTTAAGACATTTCAATTCATCCTATTATCCAATCAAAATGTCTGAAAATGTTACATTTGAATGGGGATAGTTTTCAATGTGTAAGCAACCCCCTAATGAAAATCTGTAGCAAAACTAGAATGAGACTGCTGCTCAACTATACGGTTAGCCATTATAGTATTTACCACTGATTCAATGAAACAACATCAGATTCAAATAAATGCCTTGAAATATGATGTCCAGGAGAACTATATAAAACATGTATATGATCTTAATTCCTCACATATCCTAATGCAGCTAAAACCTTCAGAGAAAACAATATAGCAAGATGTCATGATCCCCCGCCCTCTCAAGCTAGTGATCTGGAGATCAAGGCTTGAATTTCATCCAGCCATGAAAATTGACTAACTGACCTTTGTCTAGTTATACTTTCTCAGCCTTAGAGGAAGGCAAAAGCAAGTCTTCTTTGAACAAATCTTGGAAGGAAAAATCCAGATAAGAGCTTAGAGTTACCATAAGTTGGAAACAATTTAAAGGTACACAAGAACATGATTCCTTGATTATTTTTAAGAAAAAGATCAAGAGTATTCTTAACCATTTTCTTTCTCTTCTGTAACATCCTTATCTTTTACCATATTAATGAAGATGAGTTTCACATCCATCTTGTCAGATCTATCTATTGACACATGAGCCCCCAATGATATCAGCAATTTGTTGTTGTTATTGTTGTTGTTGTGTGTCTTCAAGTTGTTTCTTACCTTTGGGGGGGGGGAGAGATAAGGCTATGTAACTCACAAAGAAGACAAGGGAGTGGTACTAGTTTAAATCACCTAATGTCCTCACACACAGCCACATAACCCAAAATATCAAGGCAGAAAATCTCATGTGTGCTTTGAACTGGTTTATCTGAGTGCAAAATGCCATATATTCCCGTTCAAAGCAGAAAATGAGGGGTTTTATTTAGCTGTGTGGAAGGTCCTAAGAAACCTGCTTCCAAATTGATGATTTATAAGGCTATAGCTGTACAATCATCTCTCCATATCCACAAATCCTGTATCCATGTATTCAATCATCTACAGATTGAAAATAATTAAAAGTTCAAAAGTCACATCTTGATTTTGCCATTTTATATAAGGGATGCCACATTGCTATCCCACTGTATGTATTAGGACTTGAGCATACATGAATTTTCATATTCACGTGGGTCCTGTAGCCAAGTCCCAGCAGATACCAAGGGTGCACTGTAAAAGACTTGCAATACATTTTCACACTCAGCAAAATAAAAAAAAATCAGATGTTTGGTTGAATGCCTGTAAGTTATGAATGCCAATAACTGTGACAGTTGCACATATTTTACTATTTAACACACCCTTCATACAAAATCCAATCTATTTTCCAATGACAAATATTTCAGCACATTCATAGCAAACTTTTAAAGAATTGTTTGAAGTTATTCCAGATTAGGTGTACATCCATACCAGGCAAAACAAACAAAACATCAAAGCAATTCAGATTTGGACACCAAATCACATTAAAATAAAACAATTCTCTATTACACAAGACACAGATACAAGTACCACAGTAGGAAAATACAGGAAAATGCCTGCAATTTTTTTTCCTTTCTCTCTACATTAAACACAACTATTCAATTTTATACCACTTCCCAAGATGCATTATATATAACAGCCTCTTTGCTATACATGTACAAAAGTATAGAATAGGGTGTGCTATATTTCTCATCACAAATTATGATGTCTCAAATGCCTTCACAAGTTCGGTAATTCTTGCATTTCTTTCATCCATGACAATGTTAGAATCACTATGCCTTATTCTGATTCTCTCTCTCTCTTTTATGTGTTTTCTTTTGCACAAAACTTTTAGAAAAATCAAAGTAATGGGAAACAAAACACAATTGTTGCTTGGCTTATCTAAACTGAGCAACCAAAGCAGCACAACAATTTGAGATGGAGGAGGAGGGGAGAAAGAGAGAGATCTAAGCACATTTAAAATAATATCCGACTTATTCATAAGAGAGAGATTTTTTTTAAAATGCACACAATCATGGTATCCAATTCTTTCATTAGTTTATTTATGATAAAAAGGCTAATGTTTTGTTCTTAGTGGAAAAATTGTACGGAAACTTGCCCTATTAATCCCTAAGACACCCTTAACACCCTATTATTCTGGAATGCATACTAAAAAAAGGAAATTGCCCCTCCAAAAAACCTTGCACAGATTCCAATGGTAGACAGTTTACAAGAAACAATTGTCAGAGGGGTTGGCAACTCAAATACATGCTTCGAATATGAAGGATGGCCACTTAAATACCTGACCTAAAATGACTATTTAAAATAGGATTCGCAACTCTGGAGAAAACATCGCTATAACATTTATTCTTCGATAATAATAATAAATACATATGCTTATTTATAGGAATTTTTGGTGAAAATTGTGTGGAAACATGCTTTATGTGCCCAAAATAATCTTAACACCTTATAATTCTGTAATGTATATTAAAAAGTTGCAATTCCCCCTTCCAATGGCAGAGAAATTACAAGAGAAACTTTGAAGTGAGGTTAACCACCCTGTGCTTGGAATACGAGGGGTGACCATTTGTTCATTGATACAAAATAGCCATTTAAGATGGGATTTTGTAACTCTGGAGTAAAATATCAAGGTAACATTTCTGCTCCAATAATAATCTCTGTTCCCCCAGGCAGTAACAGGGCACACCTAAAAACTGTCAGGCCATCAAATGCTAATCAAGGTGGCCAATTGAAACATTCACACCTAGCTCCAACAGACAAGAGTTCTTTCTCCCACCCTGGACTTTCCACAGATATATAAACCCAAGTTTCCTAGTTTTCAACAGACCTCACAGCCTCTGAGGATGCCTGCCATAGATGCAGGTGAAACGTTAGGAGAGAATACTTCTAGAACATGGCCATACAGCCCGAAAAACCTACAACAACCCAATAATAAATGCATTTGATTATTTATAGGAAAGGGATAGTGCTCCCCTCTGGATGAAAAATTGAGTGGGGTGGGATCTGTAACTAACTTGGAGGAAACCACTGGTATAACATTTATTCTTCAATAATAACAAAGACATTTACAGGCAGTCCCTGAATTACAAACATCAGATCTATAAACGACTCATAGTTAAGAACAGGGGTGAGACAACAGGAAGTGAGAGAAATCTATCCCTGGGGAGGAAAATTTATTCCTGGAAGAGTTGTCATGGGGAAAAGGTGTCTCAACTGAAGCTTTATCACCAATTCTTGATTCCACAAGCCAAATTTTCCAAGCTCCAATTCTTACAGGGACAGAATGTGCAGTGAAATCTAAACAGCAAAACAAACACCACAGGAGTTTCTAAACTATCTAAAGCTTGTGTGTGTGCGCGCATACGGTCAGATACTTACCTATCTGACCACATCTTCTCATACCAACCTGCCCAAACATTAAGATCTTCCAGCAAGACCCTTCTCTCGTTGCCGTCACCATCACAAATGCAGTTGCTGGCGACAAGAGAGGGCCTTCTCAGTGGCTGCTCTAACCCTTTGGAATTCCCTCCCCAAGGAGGTTAAAACAGCTCCATCCCTAATATCTTTTAAAAAGGAGATAAAGACCTTCCTGTTCTCACAAGCTTTTAATGAAGAGATTTAGTTTTGAACGACAGCAAGGCTAACATTCAGTGTACCGTGCAAAGTTTACCACCTGTATTTATTAGATTCCCAATTCTATTTCTATTTGATAAATGTTTTTATTTATGTTTATTTAGGTATTATTGTATATATGGCATTATAGATTACTGTTTTATGTATAAAAGGTAAAGGTTTCCCCTGACATTAAGTCTAGTCAAGTCCAACTCCCGGGGGGTGGTGTTCATTTCCATTTCTAAGCCGAAGAGTCGACTTAGTCCGTAGATGACTCCTAGGTCATGTGGCTGGCATAACTGCATGCAGTGCAGTTACCTTCCCACCGAAGTGATACCTATTGATCTACTCACATTTGCATGTTTTTGAACTGCAAGGTTGGTAGAAGCTGGGCCTAACAGCGGGAGTCAACCTTTCGGTCAGCAAGCTCAGCAGCTCGGTGGTTTAACCGCTGTGCCACCAGGGCCTCTTGTTATATGTATGCTGGATCTGTATTTTTTTAAAAAAATATATATGTTGTGAGCCGCTTTGGGTCCCATTTAGGAAGAAAAGCTGGGTATAAATGAAGAGTTATTATGTGTGTGTGTGTGCATGTGTTTGTGTGTATATGTGTGTGTATACCATATATACTTGAGTATGAGTTTTTCAGGCCTTTTTTAGGCTGAAAAAGCCTGCAATTGGCTTATACTTGAATCAAGATTATTGGTTATTTTACTCTGTTATTATTATTTTTATTACATTTATTATTTTACTCTTATTATTATTACATTTATTATTTTTCACTACTTGATATTGATATTATTACCCCCACCTTACTGAAGGCCTGACTCCATTGTTCCGTCCCCTATGAGCTCCTCCCTTACAAATATACCTTTTTAATTGTTATCTAATCCAGAGTTTTGTCATTTTATGTCGTACATTTGGCCCGCCCACTGTGCTTGATTTTCACTTTGTTATTTTGCACTGTTTTATTTTACTTGTATGTTTTATTTATTTTATTTTATTTATTGCAGTTACTTATACCCCGCCCTTCTCACCCCCTAGGGGGGACTCAGGGCGGCTTACAAACAAAGGCACAAATTCGATGCCTGTCAAAATATACAGCATATATAAAACAGTATAAACATTTTACTTATTTCATTGTGATGTTATTTTTTGCCACTCTGTATTTATTTTGCTGTAATGTATCACCAGGTTTGGCCTCATGTAAGTCCCCCCTCTGGGGAGATGGTGGCGGGGATATAAATAAAGTGTATTATTATTATTGTTGGGCTTTCCTCGTGAAGGGGCGGGGCAAAAGGGAACACCTCGTAGGGAGTCGGATCTGGGATTGTGGGGCAGAGGTGTTGCGAGGAAGTGGCGCAGCACAGCCATGGTTTACATTTCGAACGGACAAGTGTTGGATAACCAGAGCCAAGCTCCATGGAGCTTCTCATCTATAACTGACTTCTTTTGGGAAATAGCAGGCTTTGTCGTTATGTTTTTCCAGAGCATTATTCATCCAGACCTGACGAGAGGGTGTACATCTTCTTCCACTTCAAGATACGATGATGGAAGAGGACCCCCAGGATTACCTCGTCATAGAATGGGCCGAATAAGTCATTTCGGTGGTCCAAGGCCCCCACCAATGGCTGGAGGTGGATGAGGAAGGTAAATGCCTCCTTCATAAAAGGAGGCAGCCAGACATACACATTTGCAAGATGGGAATGACCTGCTGAGGGATGAGCTGATGGGGGCCTGTGGGTTGCGATTGTGTTGTCTGAAAGATTCCCTGCTCTGCCAATTGGCAGAACCATGATGTTGTCCTGGAAATTCCTTGTTCTGGGATCCAGGTCAACTGAAAAACAGTTCTGTTAAATTAAATGCATTTCTGTACTGTCTATTTTACGCCTTTTTGTGTAGCTTGTGATTATTATTACTACTATTACTACTATCCAGAGGAGGGCGACTGAAAAGATCAAGGGTCTGGAGAACAAGCCCTATGAAGAGCGGCTTAAGGAGCTGGGCATGTTTAGCCTGAAGAAGAGAAGGCTGAGAGGAGATATGATAGCCATGTATAAATATGTGAGAAGAAGCCACAGGGAGGAGGGAGCAAGCTTGTTTTCTGCTTCCTTGGAGACTAGGACGCGGAACAATGGCTTCAAACTACAAGAGAGGAGATTCCATCTGAACATGAGGAAGAACTTCCTGACTGTGAGAGCCGTTCAGCAGTGGAACTCTCTGCCCTGGAGTGTGGTGGAGGCTCCTTCTTTGGAGGCTTTTAAACCGAAGTCCTGGATGGCCATCTGTCAGGGGGCTGGATGGCCATCTGTCAGGGGTGATTTGAATGCAATATTCCTGCTTCTTGGCAGAATGGGGTTGGACTGGATGGCCCATGAGGTCTCTTCCAACTCTTTGATTCTATGATTATTTTACTCTATTTATTATTGTTATACTATATTTATTTTACTCTATTATTTTACCCAGTTTTATAGTGTCTTGACGTATTGTTTTATTGTTGTTGTTCATATTGCTTAACTGTTTTTAATTTGCTTTAGGTATTGTATTGTTGTATTGTGTTTTGAGGCCTTCGGGAGATGCTAGCGGGGTACAAATAAAGTTATAATATACTATTGTTATTATTACATTTATTATTTTACACTACTTATTATAGTGTTATCATTTTACTCTACTGTACCTGTCCCAGCTTACAAACAAATTCAACTTAAGAACAAACCCATCTTGTTTTTAGCTTAGGGGCTGCCTGCACTTGGCTTCCAAAGAGGCTGTATAAGAGTGAAGATATTTAAAGGGCATTCAAGCCACAGTCTCTCCCTACACCAAGCTTAGGCCAACTTCGGCCGTCCAGGTGTTTTGGACTTCAACTCCCACAATTCCTAACAGCCTGCCGGCTGTTAGGAATTGTGGGAGTTGAAGTCCAAAACACCTGGACGGCCGAAGTTGGCCTATGCCTGGTCTACACACACCGCGGGCCGCTCCACCATTTTCTCCGACCTCCCCCTCTGCTCAGGCGCCTGGCCTTCCCCTTCCCTCACCTAGGTACCGTCTCCTCAGCAGGCCGGGCTCCTCCAGGCCCAAACTCCGCTGCCTCACATCCCAGAGCAGGTGGGGGCAGCACCCTCGGGACATGGCACCAGGAGGACGACGAGGAGGACGAGGGTCGCTTTCGCCGCCGAAGAAGAGGAAGAATGAGAAGGAGGCATCAGCCGCGGCCCATTCCGCAGGCCGCCCGCACGCGCTCCGCCACCCTCACCATGGAAACCCGCGGGCGCGCGCCTAGTAGGGAGGGAAAGGGAGGGCGCGCGCGCGCACCACCTCCTCCGCCACGAGCCGCCGGGCCGCAAGCGATTCCCTTCTTCTCTCGTCCTCTCCTGCAAAACAAGCAAGGAGCCACCGCGGCGGTAGGCTCCGCCCCCTTTCTCCTCTAGGAATTCCCGCGACGTCCTTTCCAAAGCATCGCGAGACTTCCCTCCGCGTCCTTTCTGACAGTTGGGAGAAAATGGCGTCAGGTGGCAGCGGTCGTCCCTTACTGTCATGACCTCCTTTGGGAAAACAAACCACCGTCTTTCAAAGAGCAGCTTCTTTTTGTTTTTAAAAACTTCCCTCATGTGTGTTCAAAAAACGCTTTGGTGTGTGTCCTTCGCCGCCAAGAAGGGTAGAGAAACATGATGATTATTTCCAAAAGAATAGCCGGTGTCGTCATCAACTGTCGTCCCGCTCCCTTCCGTCGTCATCAAAAGAGGACCGTGATGTTGTCATCGACGCCGGGTGAGAAGCTTGTAAGGAGCATTAACCAATAGCATAAGGATCGGCTGTCCAAGCCCGCCCACGTCCTATCCGGCGAGCCAATCACGGAGAGGGAAAGCGGGATCGTCCCACCACCTGGCTCTTGGCTCACTCGGTTAGGAGAGTGAGGAGGACGCGGACGAGTGGCAGGGGTCTTCGCCGCCGGAGTAGCACAGGATGGCGGGCGCCGCCACCGCGGGGCTCCGCGCCTCCTACCACCGGTTCTTGGACCGGATTGAGCTCATGCTGCCTCCCCGGCTGCGCCCTCTGTACAACCACCCAGCAGGTAGGGAAAAGCGAGGCTCATTGGAGGTGACCCGGGTCAGTGTATCGTGTGAGCGCGGAAACGCGTGAAGACTGGAGGCCTCTGGCGGTATTTATTTGTCGTGTCAGGACGACCAGTCATATTATATTACATTTCTGACAGAACAAAGCAAACAAACAAACAGACAGAATACACAATTTGTGAGTTTGGTAGTTGATTAAATGTCCTTTGACCAGCATCTGGCTACTTGGAGTGCCTCTGGTGGTATCCACACGTGAAGGCAGAGGGCCCTCCTTTTATACAATAAGGTCCTGGGACCTTTGTATTTGGCCACCCTTTCCCTCACACCATGTTTATAATGCAAGGGAGCCGATGTGAGGTTGTGAGGGGATCTACTCACCTGATCCTCGTGTGGGAGGAGGATTTCCAATCCCCACTCCTCTATGTGACCTTGGGCCAGGCATCTTCTTCCTGGGATGTTTTGTAAGCATGATATTGATCAGGCATGGGCAAGCTTGGGCCCTCCAAGTGTTTTGGACTTCAACCCCCACCATTCCTAACAGTCTCAGGCCCCTTCCTTTCCCCCCTCAGCTGCTTAAGTGGCTGAGGGGGGAAAGGAAAGGGCCTGAGGCTGTTAGGAATTCTGGGAGTTGAAGTCCAAAACACTCGGAGGGCCCAAGCTTGCCCATGCCTGATATTGATGGTTAATAATTATTTATTTCTTCCCCACTTCTTCTTACTGTTCCAGAATGGTTATACAACACCCGGATAAAACACAACACCTTAAAAAGGCTTATTATTAAAATACGTAGTGCAAAGGTTAATTCAGAATGCTAATAGATCGTAGATTTACAGTTTATGGAAGAAAGGGAGGGAGAGGATCCATCCATCTGACCCCATACCAGGAGAAAGACAGGATATGTAAATAAAAATAAATATATAAATTGTGTGTGTGTGTACATACATGTATGCCCCCCCCCCCCCGGTGGTGCAGCGGGTTAAACCACTGAGCTGCTGAACTTGTTGTCTGAAAGGTTGGTGGTTCAAATCCGGGAGCGGGGTGAGCTCCCACTATTAGCCCCACCTTCTGCCAACCTAGCAGTTCAAAAACATGCGAATGTGAGTAGATCAATAGGTACCACTTCAGTGGGAAGGTCATGCATGTATATATATCTTCTAAGCCGCTCTGAGTCCCCTTCGGGGTGAGAAGGGCAGCATACAAATACCATAAATAAATAAATAAATGCATATTGTTGTGATCACTTATAATATTATAATGTAATACAATAAAATACTACTAATAATATTGCAATATAATGATATAGTGCAATATAGTAATATATAATACTGATATTGTACTATGCTAATAATATAATATATTGTATGTATATATATCTTGTAAGCCGCTCTGAGTCCCCTTCGGGGTGAGAAGGGCGGCATAGAAATGTCATAAATAAATAATGCTGGCCACATGACCTTGGGAGCCTTTATGGATAACGCCAACTCTTTGGCTTAGGAATGGAGATGAATACCACCCCCCAGAGTTGAACACGACTAGACTTAATGTCAAGGGAAACCTATACACATGTATATACACACACCACCAGGCAAAATAATGGGATGTAAATATTGGATAATAATAATAATAATAATAATAATAATAAACTTTATTTATACCCCGCACCATCTCCCCAGAGGGACTCAGGGTGGCTTACAATCAAGCAAATTGAGACAATAAATGATATACACAGAAAGTGATCTCATAATAGCACAACAATATAAACACATATTTAAATAAATTTTAAAACACTATACAACCCTATATACTGTATACTGTAGAATTAATGCAGTTTTACACCACTTTGACGGTCATGGCTTTATGCTATGGGATCCTGGGGGTTGAGGCACCAGCACTCTTGGGCAGAAAAGGCTAAAGACCTTGTAAAACTATAACTCCCTCAATCCCATAGGCTTGAGCCATACCGGTGAATATAGTGTCAAGCCGCATTCATTCTATGGTTTAGACGTACCCCACAGACAGAGAATACTCCAAAGCACCAAATTTTGTTTCAGCCTGGAGGCTAAGCAAGGTCAACCCTGGTTAGTGCTTGGATGGGCTAGGCTTTATTTTAGGGGAAGGAACTGGCAAACCCACCTTTAAATATTTCTTGCCTTAATAACATCCTATGAAATTCATGTGGGCCAGTCACCATAAGTTGACAGGCACACTTTCCACAACAAATAATGCATACAATTCAAGAACATAAGATGGGACATTTGTGAAGGGAATGGGTAGGATGTGATTCAAAATGTCATTTATTTCATGGACTGAGACACAGGAGAGCTGGATTAACATGACCTTGAAGTTATATAGTTCTTGTGCTTTTTTCTCTTCCTGTAGTTTTATTATAATTGTCAAAGGTGTGTAAAAGCTGGAGTTCTGTTCAGCCTCTCCATTGGCACAGATGGTTTTTGGAAAAACATAATCTCTTATCTCTGTGTCTCAGGGAAAGGAGAGAGTAATTTAGAAAAAGGATTGCTTTGCAAGCAGTAAGTAGCCCTGCAGAAAAAGAGAAGTGGCATGTTTCTAACCGTGTCCTTCTACACTGCTCTTAAAAATGTTAGATGTCTACCCTTCACTGCAGACTAAGCTTTGCGTCTCTTCTTCTGTCAATGTGTTTTGGGGCTTTGTTTAGGGTTAGGGTTTTGTGTGTGAAAGGATGCTGCTTTGGTGCACTATTGATTTGGAAGGTCGCCTGTCCAGAAAAGCTACACTGCAGACCTTTTCACAGAGCCCACCAAATGTTGGTAGTTACCTACATACTTTACCAAGTAGTAGTTCTATCATAAGACCTGGATGAAATAAACAGTTTCTTTGTCTTCCTATCATGAAGACATTAGGAGTCTCTAATAAAATTGCTATTTGTATTTTGTGCGTGTGTGCGTGTTTTTGTTTTTTGTTTTTTACAGGGCATGCTTTCATTGTAGTGCTTTTTTGTTTTTTCTCTCATCAGCTCTGAAATCATTCTGATACTTAATATCTGTCAACTACCGGTGAAATATTTTCATCTTAAAGGCGAATGGGGAGGAGTAGGATAAAAGTGTTTAAAATTATGCATAGTGTAGGGAAAGTATTAAACTGGATAAGGAGACTTTTTTTTTTTTTTTGCTTCTCATAACACTAATAACTGGGTCATCGAATAAAGCTGAATTGTATGAGATACATGACAGGTAAAATAATTGCTTCTTTATACAATATATAGTAAACAAGGCAATTTCACTATTACAAGATCCAGTGATAGGCAGCAACCTGGATAGCTTTAAAAGCAAATAATGAGAAATTGATAGAAGGTAAGGCTATTGTTGGTTACTAAACAGAATACATGCTACTGAGAATAAAAGAAGGAAAGGTGCTATCATACCACCATGGATCTCTTCATGCTCTTACTGCATATATTGACTATAGTATCCCTTTGGATTTACTCACTGCAGAAAAGGGAAAACACTAACTAATCTTTAGTATTTAACTATAATCCATTCTCAAACTAACTGCTTGTTATCTATCTTCTTTTATCTGAAACTTGCTTTCCTAGTTTTCATATCTCTGCAGTATGCAGACTTTTGAACTTTTTGACCTCGGCTATATTAAAAGAAGAATTCAGGCTTTCATTATCTGTGCAGACCATGATAACCTGTACTTGTCTTCTGTTGTTTTGAAGAATCTCGCTTTTATTAAGAGGTTTATTACACAAATGTTAACACAATGTTATTCTTTTGGGCTGGAGAGAAGTTCCATGGAACAGTGTAGACGATAAATTAAAACCCAAAAGCCTGATGTCTCGGGACTTTATTGTGGTGTAGTGCTTCATTCGATCAGAGAATATCCCTTCTGAGTCTAGTTACAAACTATAGATAGCCTTAGAGTAGCTGTTCGATTTGTTTGAGACTCTCATGTTTTCTATGAGTTTAATCCTAAATTCACCAAACTTTCTGAGGATCATTGACATATATGTGAAACACATTTGTGAAATATGTATATGCACTCAGGCATATTATTATGAAGACTGTGAAATAAGATTAGGCAGGCAGCTAAGGAGTGGCATTGAGAAGAAGCCAAACTTTCTTCAAATTTCTGTCTCTCGTGTTATCATTTTTCCATACAAATCTTTCATGCATTGATGGTTTGCTGTTCATATAACTGAAAAAATCAGTTCTACAAAATAGTGTTCTAAGGCTTGGTGGCAAGTGTAAACTAGTCTGTGGAGGAAGGTTTTAGATCTTCTCTTTGTTGGATTGCCCAATAATTGTATATTTTTATGTCATGATACACACAAGTTCTGCCCTTCATACAGGTCATTTTGATGGCCTAATTTGATAAGTGGCATTTGCCCTAGAACACAAACTGCAATATCTGAGACAAATCCCTTTACTTCTAGCTTGTTAATCACTAACTGTAATTAACAACTTAAAATGGTTATTCTAATAGTTTCTCTCCATAGTTTCTCCATAGTTTCTCGAGCTATGTAAGATCTGAAGAGTTGGCAGCTCTTTTATTTATGATATTTGTCATGAGGGGAAAGTTTAGTGTTCACAGCAGAAGGACATGACTTGGTGTTTTCTATTTGTTCTTTGTGGAGCTCTGTGTAGAAGGCTTTTTAGAATTTTTGAAAGGCATCATGAATCTATATAAATAAAAATGTAATGTTCATTTGTGGGATTAACATAACTCAAAAACCACTGGGTGAATTGACACCAAATTTGGACACAATACACCTCTCAGGCCAATGAGTGACCATCACTCATAAAAACACTGAAAAACACAGTGGAAGAGCAAAAAAAAATACATTACAACGCATGCACAAAAACCACATATATACACAAATATATGTGTTTATATATTTGTGTATATATAAACACAAATATACACACACAGAGGACACATATACACAGACTGGGCCACAGCAACACGTGGCAGGGGACGTATGGTAACAGATAAATCTACTTCTTGTATCAAATATACAAGAAGTATATTTGAGAAACATTTTAATACAGTATGGGGAGTAATACCTTAATTGTTGAAAGGAGCATGTACATTTATATGCACCAAGTGGTAGACCATAATCTCCTGGTAAATCTCTGGCTGATTTGTACTTCAGCGTGGCTTTCACCATGGTGACAACAGAAACTTTTATTTCCATCCTAAATTCTGCTGCTGAAATAAAGAAAGCTTCATGCAGGGGCAGATAATAGGAATAGATTTGTGTATGAAAGGATTATGCTGGCTCTAGAAGTGGAATTGAGAGCAAGTTCCTGAGCATGTGCTTAGCATATAATTTCCCTCAATTTCTTCTTACTGCACTCTCTTTTTCACCCATTGGGTATATATTATTCACATGACATGACGAGGATGGGATCTATAGGAGCTCTGGCTTTTCAGCAGCTTGCTGTAAGAGCTCAATTTATTCTTTGTTTCTTTCTCTGACTTGTTAAGAAGAAGCAAAACCAAGAAGGGAACTTTGCATTGCCAGATGGCACATTAAACCAGCCACAGAACAAAGCCACATGGTTTACACTGATCAGTGTGCACTATCATGGTATTCACTCAAGACAAACCAGGAGTCATACTGTGAGTTTTATAATGCTGAAAGGCCTCTGAGGTCAATACTGGGGACATACTCCACTTTCCCCATGAAGCTCCTGATTTTTTTTCTTTTCTTCCAGGCAAGTGAAAAATACTTAAGTTATAACTAGTTTGATGTAGTTTTGACAAACCAAAGTATTTAGGTGGAACAGTCAGTATCAAAGTATTTAGCTTTAGTTTAACATAGGCATATGCATGAACAGCATGAAATATTATCTTTATTGAACTTAATTAAGAGAGCGTATGATCAGACTTGTAATACTTAGAAGAAGTAGCAAATGCACTAGCGCAGGAACGTCAAACTCATTTTCACCAAGGCCCCCATCAGCCTTATGGTTGTCTTCAAAGAGCCATTTGTAAATATAAGATTGTATAAATGTTATTATGTTGCCCTAGCAGTGAAAGCTTCATGGGCCACATAAAATGGGGTGGTGGGCCGGATTTGGTCTCACATTTGACACATGTACAATATGGTTCCTCTTGATGAGGAGCCTGTTTTGGCTTTTGAACAATCTAATAGAATAGTTCTCAGTCTGTGGGTTCCCAGGTGTTTTGACCTACAACTCCCAGAAATCGCAGCCAGTTTACCAGCTGTTAGGATTTCTAGGAGTTGAAGGCCAAAACATCTGGGGACCTACAGGTTGAGGGCCACTTCTCTAATATATCTAATGTGCACAGCTGCATTGATTCTGCATCTACAGATTCCACTACCCCAGTGGATAGCAAGAGCCTACTGTATTTCTGTTTTGGAAACAATTCTCTTTAGAGTGTTGTAGAATCTTTATAACTACAGATCTTGACGTAGATTGCTGTCTATAATTATTTTATTAGCTAAATTCATAACAACTGTTAAATCTGAAATGAGAGGGACAATACATTACAGATAAGTTATTAATGTTCATGGATTAAAATAGTTAAAGCAAATCTTTGTTCCTTTCCCAATATGCATCAGATCTCTGGGCTTCTACAGGACTTTTATGATTTCTTCCCACACTATGTTGTCTCTAGAATGAGGCAATGGTCAATCTGATAGTTGCAGTTGCAAATGTTCTTTGGCAATTTATTTACTAACTTGTGAACAAGGTACCTGTTTTACAGGTATATTTGCCACTTGTGAAATATTATATATCCAAACATCCTTTGTTAGGAATTTTTTTTATTCAGCGGTCATACATGTTTGTCTGTGTGTTTTGTATTGATATGTAGATATTCACTAAATGTAGAACCCTTGGAGAACCGATGATAGTTATCATCGGTTCTCCAAATCCATTGTATTACAAAGTACTGTTTGACCATTGGAATTGATTTCTGGAAACGGGTAACCACTGAAAATGCTTTTAAAATTAATTTCATATTATTTTAATAGGATTTGATATTTGTTTTGAACTTTGGTACTATAAATTGTTCTGTCATTGTTTAGTTGGACAACCTTGGGTCTTATATTGAGGAAACGGGTAGAGATATGAATTCAATAAAATTCTAGAGACAATTGTGAGCAATATTGTGCCCTGCATCTCTTATGTATACCTATACACATTTGAAATATCACTTATTTTATCTGAATCTGGAATCATTTATGGCTATTTTCCAGGTGTTTTCAAAAGAAAATGAAAGGATGACAACTACTACAGTATATGAACATGTTCAGCTCCTGAAAGGAAAGCTTTCTCTCAGTTTTCATGTGAAATACTTTGAAAAGTATCGTCATTATTTCACATAATGAATTATAGAGCATCACATGACTGCAAAACTTCCTGTGTAGCAAGTCTAGATTACAAGCACCAGAGGCCAAAATTTTGGGTTCTCTCCACTGTCATTGGAATGGCATCTGTCCTCTCCAAGTGCAGTTTCCATACGCTCCAAAATGTGAGGGGATTGCAGGAAGAGGAAGGAATAGTTTACCCAACATCCCTTGTTGCTGACTGTGAGAAGGTGACAGGGACTGCCATGCTCCTCTCTTTTCTGTTGTTTCTCACAGACTGGAGAAATTGTCAGTAGTAACAACCATTCACCAAAGGAAGTCAAGGAGCAGTGCAGATGATCAATCACTTAGCACCAAGCAAACATTAGAAACCCAGCAAAGGGTGGGTCAACCCAGCTCTAAAAGCCAGTGCTGTAGCTATGGAGGAGTAAGGAAGTAGGAGGAAGAATCTGTCAGATAAGGTGTGTTAGGTTTACCTCTGAAGGGGAAGACTACCACTGACCGTGGCAAAATCAGAGGGATAATAAGTGCCCAGCATTTTCCAAATACTATAAGGGCTTGCCCCAGGGGAAATGAGAGGAAACCAGTGCGAAGTTCTGCACCACTGGTTTGGCTCGCAACTTGAAGAGCCACAACAGGACTCGGGTTCTCACCCTCCCGAATAGCTTTCATATTACAAAGAGCTTTGGGGAAAGCTCATCTGTATCCCGGAGGGGCAATCTGGCTTGCCTGCTCCCCCAGACGTGGTGAGTGATCCTGATGGTCTCAAACTTCTCCTGCTTTGACCTGACTGCACAAAGACCTAACAAGAAAAGAGGCCAATCCTGCTTGAATTTACCCTGATTTGAGTGTAAATTAAAGACTGCTGGTTTGGCCTCTAAAATCCCCAAAACACCTGAAAATAAGGATGTCAAAGTCGCAGGTCTCTATTTTGTTAAGATGTTTTGGCAGTTAAGATGGTTTGGAGGTGTATTAATGCTGTCAAAACTCATTTCTCTCTTTGAGTGCTCCTCAGTGTGCTTTCTGGTCCAGCCTGTGGTCATAGGGAATTAGCTCAAAAACCCTTGTCACTCTTCTGACCTTATGGCATACCATAAGATAGAGACAGATGAAATTTTGTCTGATAGAATTCTGAGTTGTATATTCTTGGTAGCTGTTGAAGCCTGAAGGCCACAATGAGTTTCTCCCCATGGAGGTAGAAGGCACAATCATAATGCCTCACCAATAATGGAGAGCCAAGGCACTCCTAGCCTTATTCCATACTATTTTCCCATACATTTATCTTAGGACAAATGCAGCAATATGTTGAAACCAGATAACAATTATGCGTCCTGGGTAGAATAATTGTTTTCTCCTCCTAATTTGGAAAAAGTGTTCTCCTTCAATGAACTGATTTTTTTTGCTGTATTTCATAAGTAGGAAAGTATAGTCATGATCTCTAATATTCTGTTCACTTTTATTGTGGTTTTTAACAACTTATATCTGGTTTCTTCATCAAGGCAGCTTTCTGTTTAGATAACTTGCATAATTCCGTGAAGTTGTTGCAGACCGCACATAGATGCCTAAATCAAATTGCTAATCCCAACTAGAATAAACTTCTTGAATAAATTACTGAATATAAATTAACACTTATATAAATCCAATTGTTTTAATGGGTTTTTGCTAGTTAGGATTAGTGGTTGGATTTCAGCCAAAGTAGTCTACACTTATCTGCCTGGCAGATTTATTGTGTGTAATTCTGGTTAGTTAAGTAGCTTCATGATCTAACTGAAATAATCTTTTACAGGTCCCAAAACAGTGTTTTTCTGGGCACCAATTATGAAATGGGTAAGTTTACTTTTGCATGTAATGTTTGTGACTCTAGAAGTTCATGTAGACTGTAAGGAAGCGTAATCCCACCTAAATGGGATTACCAAAATTAAATAAATATGTATGTTAATCTATCTAATTTCAACCTAAATTATAAGGAAGTCTCAAAATTTCTTGATTACACTGCCACCATTATATATATATATAGAGACGTTGGAATTGAAGTCTCTATTTATC